TTCAAAACTTCACATGATGGACATCAAAAAAATATTTAAAACACAATGACTTCTTACACCAAAAACACCGAATAACCGCAATATTATTTGACAATGAAATTCACAGGTTTCTCCGAAACCGCAATCCATGGGATTTTCAAACTTTTTATTACATTCTTTCAGGCTTCACTTCTGTGTAATTAATCTTCTTTGTTCAACACTGGTCATACAGAAGGGAAGCCTGAAAGATAGCAATTTAAGAATATTATTTCTCAAATCCAAATTAATATCATAATTCATTAATAAAACATTGTCAAAGAAGTTTGAAGTCTAGAATCGATTTCAGCGATGTTCAAAACCCTTACGATACAAGACTTTGCGAGCGTACGAGAAATGCCGCCAAACAGAGGTCAGAATACAAAGGGGTGATTTGGGTAAAAAAATGCAACCGATAGGTAATGAAGCGAGTAAGCTCTTTAATTAACTAGCAAAAAAAATTTTTTTAATGATTGGAAAGGCAAATTTAAGCAAGATAATGTCGTTTTACGGAAATTTGGTTGCACAAATATGTGGGTAGTTTACCTCTTAAACAAGATTTTTTCGAAAAGCGCAAAGACATGCATTTCCTACTTTTTTTTAGCTCTTTCAAATGCAATTTGTTTCAATAAAATACGATGGATAGTTTATAATAATTTTTTTAAGGCTTTTCAGTAATTATTCCTTTACTGTGTATTTCAAAAAAAAAAAACTATTTTTCACCTAAAATACAATCGCAACGTTGCGCGCGTTCGGCGGAACTGCAATAGCGGCGTGACCTCGATCGAACGTTAGAAATTTATGCTAGTCATTTCTACAAATCAAATCCGATCGAGCTGAATTTTTGATATAGTATAAATTATGACATAGCACTTTGTGCACGTTACAAAAGAGATAGGAACTAGGCGATAAAAAGAGCTACACCGTGAGGTCCACAAGGCAACGTAACATTTACGTCAAGCGTGGACTGAATTTAACATTAATAACATGTATTAATTCCCTTCGTGGTGTATATTTTGTGTTTTACAAGCAGTCGTCGGTCCCGTAAGGGAACCGCTACGAAAATTCAGAAGCAACAAAGCCCGTGATAGACCAACAATGGCCCTGACTACGGCAGAGGGGCCCAACCAACGACACTAGCGTGACGTAGCCAACAGGAGGAGGGCCAGCGCGACCGTAGAGCACCACTGAGCGAGGCCGCTTACGCAGAAGGACGCCGCGAGAGGATACAAGATTCTAGATGAATCAGGGGATTGTAGTGGTAGCCTGGAGCCGCACAACGAGGGATAGAGTGCGGATGTGATTCCCGCCCCAAGAAAAGACACTGCAATCGCCCAGAAGAGAAGATGCGCGGATTCATTTTTCTGGTGTCGAGAAAACAATTGAAGATCGCGGGCGAATTCGGTCCGAAGGTAATATTCCTCCGCGCCACGAGGGCTCGTCAGCGAGTGAGCGATCGGGTAGCATCACTTGCGGTGTAACCTACGTTTCGCGCGGTGTGTGCTAATAGTGTTTGGTTTTGAAAAGTGTAGAGTGAGAGCGATAGAGCGATAGTAGTGAGGAGAGAAAGGAAGAAAAAGAAATCGAGAGCGGAAGATGGATAGAGAAGATCTAGACGAGTTGGAGAGAGCAATTCGGTGTGAGTGACGCTACCGAGTTCAATAGATTTGTAATTGACTAAGTTTAACGGGATCATAGATGTAGCTACTGGATCTTCGATCCAGACAGCACGCGTCGTCTTCCGTTTGCACGATTGATAGGATCCGATGCTTGCCAACACGGTGGCGATCTGGAAGATCCGTTAACTTGTATCAATGTTGCGTTTTTAGTTTTGTGTTTAATTATTGGTAGAACATGTTACAAGATATTGCATGCAACTCCTACATATTCAGTCCACACTACACGTAATCGTTTCGATCGTGTGTCATGTATTGTGAAGGCCGTGTAGTGGTACGTTTTCCCCGGCGAGAAATTCGAAGGTAGTATGAAGACGGCTAGGGGATTACGTATTTCCTGACTGAGATTTTCAGTAGGTAAATGGGTCTCTGGAACTGTTTCCGGCATCGTCTTTATTCGTGACGGGATCTTGACTAGAAATTCCGTTCGGG